CTCTCCCCCTACACTTTAACAGGAGTAGAAGCTCGTCTCTTGTTTCCTGTTTAGTTTTTTTTTGGTATATGTGTGTTTGGTGGCTACGTCTCTTCATGCTGAGGATACCGGATTGGCTGTTTTCTGGTTGCTTTTTCCCGACTGGTAGTTAGTAGCCCGAACTCTAGAGAGGCTACCCTGATCAACAGTCATATAATATTGGGATTCTTACATCAGACAACCGACTGCTATTACTATTCTCGCCCTTTTTCTTAGGCAAATAACACACCATGACGATAAGCAACCAACGAAATAAAACTGAACCAGCTTAACAAAAAACACCTAAACTCTTCTTTCTCCAACAATCATAGGATTTGTACCAATTTCTGCAGTATGGAATCGTTCGTCTTCTAACAATCTTCGGACATCCTAGCTCTCTCCGAAACTAATTTTAACTATGCAAACCTCTCCTCTAAATTCACGATTCCTGGCTATCTTCCTCTCTTTTGGAAGGACTCTAATGTTCAAATGCATGGCCAGGAAATGTATGTCCGTGAACATCTCCCGCTGGCTGGGAAACTTTCTCTTGAAACTATAGACAATTCTTACATGTGCCTATGTCTCTCTCTCTACTAAACTCAGTCAGCTATCTCTTCATTTCTCTGTGGTTTCCCGTCCTCTCATGACTATTGTTTGCAAGATAGCATTTCTAATAATGTCGACAAGACCATTTGTCTACACCCATCTGCAAATATATTTGTGTTCGGTGACATTAATGCCCATCATGCCAGGTTGCTTAATCACTGTCAAAGACTCCGCTGGCATCAAAACCATGAACATCTCATCACTCTATCCCTCACGCAAGTGATGAACATCCCCACGTGTTTCCCCAATAATCCTGATGGACACGCCGTTATCGAAGCTTTCATTTCACACCGAAACACCAAGTGAAACGACGTTAATTCTCACCAATATGCTCGGCCGCTATAGCCCCCAGGATTCACTTCTTCCGGCTGTACCAGGGCGATTAAATAAAAGTTTTTTTAATGAATTTTCGCGCCAAAGACAGAAAACAACTTCGTTAGATACAAAGAAAAGAGTCTTGAACTGTTACGTGATGCCTGTCATCCTATACGACAGTGAATGATGGACAATCTCCTCGAAGACGAAGAAAATACTTGAAGCAATAGAAATGTGGTCCTACAGAAGGATACTGAGGATACCATGGACAGAACATGTGAGCAACTACAAGGTTTTTTAAAGAAAATGAATTCAAAAAGGATATTTATACTTAACATCAGAAAGAATCAGTCGAAATGTATAGAGCACATAATGAGGAAAATAGGCTTGGAAAATCTGATACTCAAAGGAAAGATTGAGGACATGAGGGCCAGAGGAAAACAGCGTATATCATACATGATGGGCTTGAGTAAATGGTTGTTGGAACAGTGTTTAGGAGAAATAACGAAACGACAAAATATATGAAGTCCTACAAAGGACAGGAAATTCTTCTAATCATTTCACAGCATGCAGGGTGTTATAGGGAGTGAAAGTGAAAGTGAAAGTGAAAGTGAAAACAGAGAATATAGAGGATTGAGGAAAAGACCAAAGTGAATGGGATTCAAGAAATATTGAGGTTGCATTTAAATTTTTGAAGATTGTAGTTATCTGAGAAGCAAGTAAACGGAAGGAAGTTCTACAGATGAGTAAATAAAGTGTCCGAGTAGAAGTGGCGGTTTAATTTCAACAATAAAAATTGAGACCTAGATGCCAAGCGTCCTGAATAAGACGACAACCTACATCTGACAGCAAGACCTCAGATCAGGTGGTTATGAGGAGCGTGGACCCACCTCTTAATTACTGGTATTCGCAGGTCCATTCTGACCCGGGGTGGTAGCCCCTATTAGGGTCCCAGATATGGGTAAATTTTTAAGCCCAAACTGGGGTCAAAACGCCTAAAAATTCTTTTAATACCAGCAAAAGTTTCTTTGTATAAAATTATTACCGGCAATAAATTTTTGAAGGAAAAAAATATTACCAGCAAAACATTATTACCAGTATTACATTTTCTGGAAAAATATTACCAGCAATACATGTTTGGAAAAAATATTATCAAAAATCCTTTTTGGAAAAAAAGTTATTACATTATATAAATCTGGTTGGCATTAAGTAGCACATTGATGTTGATATATCGTAAAACAATAAATAGGAACTGCTACCTCACCAGACCACGTTCTGTCACCCACTTGCTTAAGGCTGTCAGGTATGTCATGTGTGGCTTTCCCTTGACTCTTTTCCCTCTATTCGACTTGTGTTTTCTCAGATTTTCCAGCCCCCACTTTTCTCATTACGCGTCACAGAAACTTCAGCTGCCTCTTCCTGGTGTATAAGTATAAGCCTCCTCCCTGTTTGCATCCTTTACAAGACCGAATCGTTGCTCACACGCTCGGAAATCCTTTTTAACTCTCCGTAGATAAAGAAAAATAATTTCTCACTATCCCTCCCTTTTTCTATCTATCTCATTTGTCCTCAGAAGTTTCCTCTAAAAATGTATCGTGTGTTTTCAGTGTATAACACGATCAATTTTGAACAAAAATTAAAGGCAAACCAGGAGAAGAAATATTATACATATGTACATGTTTTCAGAAATTTATTTTTTTTCAGCTTGAAAAAAACAACTCTTATTTGAAATAGCAAGTTTACAAATACACTCAGCAGAAAAATGAATCGAAAAATCAATTTTGAAAAGAAATTAGATGTGCGTAATAGCTAAACATCCGGTTCATTTATATGCTTTAATATCAGGAAGAATTAAAGAAACATGCAATGGCTAAACATCCGGTTCATTTCTATGCTTTAATATCATGAAAAATTAAAGAAACATACAATGGCTAAACATCCGGTTCATTTTTATGCTTTAATATCAGGAAAAATTAAAGAAACATGCAATGGCTAAACATCCGGTTCATTTCTATGCTTTAATATCAGGAAAAATTAAAGAAACATGCAATGGCTAAATATCCGGTTCATTTCTATGCTTTAATATCATGAAAAATTAAAGAAACATGCAATGGCTAAACATCCGGTTCATTTCTATGCTTTAATATCATGAAAAATTAAAGAAACATGCAATGGCTAAACATCCGGTTCATTTCTATGCTTTAATATCATGAAAAGTTAAATATTTTAGTGAAATATATCTACGACATTTGTAATCCGTCACATTACAAACAGACTCAATTAGCTAAAAAAATTCTGAAAATCATTTTTAAACAGAAATTAGAAGAAACATCCGGTTTATTTCTGTTCTTTAATATCACGAAAAATTAAATAATTTAATGGAATACATGTACGACATTGAAATGTTAATTGATTAATATGGTACAACTTTTCAAAAACATTTACGTAGAGATGATTGTACTAGGTGGTCGTATTATATTCAAGGATATGTATTTCCTGTTTTTAGCTTCAGAATTATGGGATCGTATTATACATAAGTCGTATTATACACAAGTCGTATTATACAAAAGCTTATACGTTATTCTTGTGACCCGGGACAAATTTTCTGCGATAAATGTGTCCTTTTACCTGCCTTAGGTCATATTTTTTTGTTTTATTTATCCATTTTGACCGCCGTTTCACGACAAAAAAAATTCCAAAACGGCTGACTATTTTCTCATAGAATTCCAAAGATCAATTTTTCTTTCCACAATTTTAGATTTATGCGCCTACGTTTGGACAGCTCGGAATATTTTCATCCCTTTACTTTGTTAGATAATTTACGCTCGTAAATTTAATAATTTGTAGTTTCACTTCCATAAAATTTCTTTGTTAGTTTCCCTTTTTTACTTTTTGATTACATACTTTTCGACTAATGGGGATTTTCCTTTCATTTTTAAATCCAGTATGTATTTTGATAACATCTATTTATCTTATATCTTTTGTATTTGAATAATAGTAAATAGTTTCCCAGTTGCCCCGACATTAATCTTTTTGCCTTACTTGTTCTCCTTTGTTGTCGCCTTCTCCATATATAGTATTTTTTTCCTCTGTGTAATGTCTATCCAATGCATATGAGAACATCGATAATTCCAGTTGTAACTGGAGCCCTCGGATTGCTTGGAAAATGTTCCGATAGACTCAATGAAGGGATAACCCATGCCTTAAAGTAATGCAAAGAATTGTGCTAACAAGTACAGCTCAAACATTACAAAGATCGTTATCTATGTAAAATATGTGTGATCTTAGGGTTTGTTTTTTTTTGGTTTGTGTTTTTTTTTTAAAAAGGATCAGGTAAAGAAGAAGAAGAAGAAGAAGAAGAAGAAGAAGAAGAAGAAGAAGAAGAAGAAGAAGTTATTTCAAATAAGCCCTCATCAACATTGAAACCTTCTAAATATTGAATAAGGATGCGACACAAAGTCCGTTTGCTTAACATGGGGAGCCAAAGCACCTCCATTGGTCAATTTCTTGTCTTAGCTAGTCATAACCAGTCAAAAAAAACGTTACGGAACAGATCCGAGGATTCCATTCAGCAGGCGATGGGCGGAACGGAACAGATATTAAAACAGCATCTCCTCCGCCCCAGATTTTTTTCACCCTCGTCAGTATTTACCTTTGACGCCCCAGTGAGTCAGGATGCGACACAAGGTTAGTTTGTTTTAACATGAGGAACCTGAGTGTCTCCACTCGGGCCACGGGTCAATTTCTGGTTGTCAGTTAGTCATAGCTTGCGTTATCGCTTAGCAGTGTTACAACAGCGTAGGGTTTTGACGCTAATTGTGGTTATAAAAGAAAGTCGTAAAACTAACTGTAGACTATGAAGTATAATGTAATTGGTCATAAAAAAAGGAAAGGAATAGTATTGGGTTTGGAAAATCAGCGTAAAATGCCGGGATATTTACTTGACACCCCACTGAGTCAGGTTGTGACAAAAGGTCAGTTTTTAACGTGGGGACCCGAATGTTTTCACCCGGGCTGCTGGTCCAAATTGGTCTTAGCTTGTCCAAACTAATCAGCGCAAAATGTCTCCGAAACGACGTACAAAATTAATAAACTCGAACAATTTGTTCAAGGTTAAATTGAAAGCGTCCGTTTACTGAAACAAAAATAACAAATTAGCATATCGTTACGATAGATCTCAACTCGGGCAGGGAGGTACATATCTCTGGTCTTTGCTGCCTCTTTTAATTCTAGTTTTTGCTCTCTCTCTATCTATCTATCTATCTATCTATCTATCTATCTATCTTACTCATTCCTTTCTCTTTTTGTCCCCTCCCTCTTTTTCTAATTCCCACACATTCCCCTCCATCTCTCTTGGAGTTTCTCTTTTCTTCTCTCTTTGTAGGATTTCCTTTCTCTTTCTCTATTTTCGGAATATTCTCTTCTATTCAACTTCTCGTCAATTGACAATGAACGCAGAACTGAACAAAAAACAGCAAAAAAAAAAAACGAAACGAAAAAGCATAAATACGAAAATTAATAACATAACTAAAGTTATTTTAAAGTGGAATGTCTTGGAGTATTTAGTCGTTCAATTAGAGGTGGGTTGATCCGAATTGGCTCACTACCTAATTGATCGACTCATTGATTCCTTTATTCATTCAATCAGTTATTCATTCGTTAATAATCACGTTTTTCGTAGTATTTATCGATTATGTGATCTAACATCCCAATCGTAACATTAATTGGAGTAGATGGTAACTCCTATATTCAAAGGTAGATTACGGAAAATATCGATGGCAAAATGCATCGATATATTTGGTATATCTATCTATCTATCTATCTATCTATATATATATATATATATATATATATATATATATATATATATACACATATATACATATATATATATATATATATTATATGAAAAGATTACTTAAATTTTAAATATTTAAATTGATATTTGAAAGTTAAGTAATGTTTTCATATAATATCATTAACGCTCTATTTTAATATTATTTTAATATCTTTAGTATTCAGCATTGTATATAAAATGTCTGTTGTTTCTTAACTCTTATATATATATATATATATATATATATATATATATATATATATATAGATAGATAGATAGATAGATAAATATATATATATATGGAAAAGTTTATAGTTGTTCCAACGAGAGAAAATATGTATTTGAAAAAAAAAAAAAAACGAAAACGTTTGTTATAATGTAGATTTGTTTTAGTATACATATATATATATATATATATATATGTGTGTGTGTGTGTGTGTGTGTGTTATACTTTATTCTTCATATTTGTGCCATATTGCCCCATGAGGATTTCCAGAAAATGAAGCAATCATCTAAGTATCGTTTCCACAATTTAGTGAAGTGGGATTTTATATTCCCACCATGTATTTGTACTGTCTGTTATTATAAGTTTTCCTCGAGGTAAGCATATATAGGGGCCATTTTCATTTCCATTGCGGTACCTAGGTTTGGATATAGTTGCTATTGTCAAATTTAAATATATATATATATATATATATATATATATATATATATATATATATATATATATATTTAGAGAGTGCAGCTTATATTTTATATCGTAAAAAAGCAATTTACATAAAGAATTAAATAGCAATGTTAATGTAATTAATGGCGAAATCACTTCGCTAACAGAACTTAATAAGACATTAACTTACTATCAATTTCTTGAATAATAAGATCTTTATATTAGAGTTTCTGTCAGGTGAAAGACACATGCGAAGCACTTTCGACAGATTCTGTGGAAAACTACTTTATTTTTACTCTAGTAATTGGGTTATACTAAATCTATTTCGCTTTAACAGCTAAATACATATAATAAGAAAATTTCGTGGATTTCTAACTTTTCAAAGTTCAAAAAATTCTCACTTGATCAATTTGAACAAGAACTCTAGCGTCACTACATCGCACGCTCTAAAGCATATATTCAACTGTCAATAAATAGCATAACTTAAAATAAAAACATCTTTCGGTCTACACATCGTTCATCTTAGTATTTTCCTATATATATAAAAAAAAAATTGTGTCCTGAAGATGACATTTGGAAATGGTCGAAAGTTGTTGGCAAGTATCTTATTATTTGCCTAATGTCTTGGTAGTTTTTTCCAGAAAAATTTGTACCGTGGATCCGATGATAATTTTCGACAGTACTAGCAGCACCGGAACATCAAATCGATCTTACAATTTTAAACATAACGATCGCGTCATTCAACGAATGGTTAGTAGATTAATGCTTTATTAAATTTGTTAGCGAAGAGATTTCGCCATTAATTACATTAACTTTACTGATTTATTCTTTATATAATTACCTCTTTATAGTTGTTGTGACCAAGTAAATGGTTAAAGAAATAACAAAACAAGTGTTACAGATATATCATATATTAAACAGTAAGTACAACAGACGAGTATTACACGACTAGTGAGTGTGTGTCGGTTGACCAGCGTTCAATCTATTCGACTGTTCCCCAAAGACCTTCTCTCCTGCTAATCTTATAGTAGGCGGAAGAGTCCAACATAGACTCTATAGGGGGAGGACACTACAACAATATATATATATATATATATATATATATATATATTACCTGATTTAAAATATGTTTTTTCGCTACACAAATATAAAATTTAAATTTAATTTTGTAATTAAATTAAAAACATTAGTTCCATTTCATCCTCAAGCGAATTTTAGAGTAGCTTATTTCTTTTTAATTTACTGAGTTTTAACTGCATGGAAGTTTATTTCCCCACTCACTAATAACCATGTTTCTCCAAAATTCGCTAGTAATTTAATTACAAAATTAAATTTAAAGTTTTTAGCTTTACATTTTTGAAACATGGTTATTACTGTGTAGCGCAAAAAGCATATTTTAAATCAGTTAATTTATAATATTAATGCTCTGTAAATTTACATTGAGCACTATTTTGTAAAAAAATAAAATATCAATAAGAACACCGGATTACATATCTTACTGTTCTTTCCTTTTTATTTGAATATATATATATATATATATATATATATATATATATATATATATATATATATATATATAAATATTCATTATAATATAATATATTCAATGTTATAATTGAAAATATTTAATATACGGAAAAGTAGACACAGTACCACGAATTTGTCAGGACTTAACTGCCACATCATGTTGGACTACCAGTTCTCGAAAGATCACCGAAGTTAAGAGTCTGGTCAGACGGGTGACCTTACGATAGCTTCGATGTGCGAGTGGTGTGATAGATAATGGCTTGGTGTTCTAATTCCCGTTGGATTCGTTATATTTACTTACGAACAAATACCCTCGGGAAAAGTAAGAATACCCTTCCTTATCCCTTCTTATGCGTTAATTAGTAAGATCACTAAACCATTATTATCTACAAAAATATTCTTACAATCTAAAAATACTTGATAAACCGTAAAAAACAAATCAATCAAGTTATTTATCTGGAGATTTCTTGCTGATATTGACTACTGCAGGTGACCTCTGCTCGCAGAACCTTTAGCAAGGTCCTGAAACGATACCCGGTGGTGACCCGAACCTAGTGAGTGAAACTAGGGAGACGGAACCGTTTCGGAAATCTGTGATGGTTGTGTCAAAATTATGTCACAAGTCATCTTGACCGATGGTGCGTACGTATTCAAACTAGTCATTATGATTATGAGTTCTCAATCAGAAACTTTAACTATAGACCGGTCAGCATAGCCGACTTGGCATCGGATGTATTCGGAAACATGTATTAACTGGCCATTGATATATATATATATATATATATATATATATATATATATATATATATATATATATATATTTATGAATAAAAATGACAATAGGATTTGTCACGTGTGGAGAATAGTGTCATTATATCTGTGTTGATGTATTCAACCATTTTCTTTTGATTTTATGAATCTGTTGTGAATATTTGTTTGTAAGAGATTAATTTTGTTAAGAAAGATGAAATAGGGGAAAAGCCTGGGCGTAGATTAATATTTGGGTAATGATATAGATATAATGACAATATTCTCCACACGTGACAATCACTGACGTTATTTTTCAGTTAAAAATATGAAAATAGCGCTTCTCTACATTCCAGTTGCTAGGTACATTCTGTTTTTGTTTTATTAGTTACTTTGTTCATTTAATTTCATTTTCGTATTTTGCTTTGATAAAGTCCACACTGGACGAAACGCGTCAACAATTACCAGTTTTCCCTATTGTCATTTTTATTCATAAATATTGTCTTCTACTGGTTAAATCGGAGAAATTTTATATATATATATATATATATATATATATATATATATATATATATATATATATTACAATGAATCATTCATACAAAAAGTAGATTAGTAAAATGAATGATATAATTTTC